GTGGCATATGCCTTTAATCCCAGCTACTCGGGAGGCTAAATCAGGAGAATCTCTTGAACCCAGAAGGCAGAGGTTGCAGTGAGCTGAGATCATGCCAACTGCACTCCAGCCTGGGCGACAGAGTAAGACCCTGTCTCAAAAAAAAAAAAAAGACTTGCATTTGAAGGATAAATTTTCTGATTTGTGGGTGGGAGTGGGAATTATTCCCATCTAGAAAATTATTCCTATCTAGAAATGACAGGATAAAAAAAAAAAGAGAGAAAACCTTTTGATGCCTCTATAGTCACCCTCGGGCTCAGAGACTAGATTGCCTGTTATGCAAAACATATCAACTCAACAGGGCAATGGCCCAGGTGAGCAAGGCAGGCTCATCAAATCTGGGTACCTCCTGAGCTATGTCATTTCATTTGCTACATTCAACTACTTTTTGGGGAGTGGGGAGAGGGGAGGAATTCTACAACTTAGATCAGCAAGTTAAAATGCAAATAGTTTCCTGTACAATTTCCATCCCACTAATTCTAAATCAACACACATAAAGCATAAATAATGCCATCCCCCTTCTCCCAACACACATAAAATTTCAATTTCATAAGGGCAAAGGCAGGAAAAACTGAGTTCAGTCATTCTGAGATCCTAAATAGTTTTCTCTTCTAACACTATGAGGTTTTAATCCTCCTAGTTCCTACCTCACCATGCAAAAGTGCAAAGTGTTCCTGACTGCCAGGGCCAAAAGCAGGCCACAAGTCCTGATCACATACTGAAACTAATCCCAGATACAGATAACATTTATTGAGTGCCCACTACATACCAAAAGGCATTAGGTTGATCCTGCTCTTAACTTACTACATGCACCAGCTAGGCTACTGCTCATATATGCTACTACTTTTAAGAAGTGCATTAACTGAGCAATCCCAAAGAAGATCTTTCCATCTGTATCCTCCACAGAGCCTAGAGTGCCTTGTATACCTGAATTAAAGGCATATAAGTTTCCACATTGTGTATTAAAAAACACCATCTACACTATTCCTTACTTCTAAAAGCACTCTTTCTAAAAGCACTCTCCTGCCCTTATCCTACAATTGGCTGAAAATCTCTCATGACTTTTTGCCCACTAAAAATAATAGGCCAACAGTACGAAACTTTGCCAGTATTCTCTGCTCAGTCAAATATGTCATAATATAGTGGCTTCTTTACGATTAAACCTCATCTCCTTAGTGAAGACCTGGGGAAAATAGGTCAACAAAAACATACACCAGAAAAGAATACCTGTGAAAGAGTATCTAAAGGAACAAATAGGCCCAGAAGATAAGTCTAGTGTTTACATACAGACCCAGACTGGCAGCTGAGCTGTCCAATAAGAGGGAAGCCTTCTCATAGCCCAGTTTCCTGTGCTGCTGTAACCTCAAGCCTTTCACACATCTGTCTGCTGACAATCTGATTCTAGGTGCACTAACTCATCATCCAGTATTAATGAAGCAGTTCCTTTGTATTAGTGAGGCAGTCACAAAGAAGCAGACACTGTACACAATCTGGAGTGACTTTCATATCTAAAGTCTGAAAACCCATAAAAGTAGAGACAATGCTCCTTAGGTTTGCTTTCAGCTTTTGAGTACTGGGCTCTTTAGGATGCAGAAAGCGCTGGAAAAGAGGAGCTGAAGACTAAGTCAACCCTGGGAAAATAGAAGATTTGGGCACCTACAAAGGATCACCAATGAGAGCAGAAATCGCCCCTCCTGAAGCAAGGGCCTGACCTTTGCCCCTGCATACCTCCCTGTTCCCTCCCACAACAACCCTTCCCTCGTCTTATTCCTGTCCGCTGCGTCCTTAACCCACCCTGGCTCGCCCAATTTAAGGGTCCTTCCCCCTAATTCCCTATTGCGATGTCAGGGAGGCTTTCACGACACCGGAACTCTAGGAAGAGACTTCGCTGACCTGTCAGCGGATCCAAAATGGCGGGGCCTAGTCCCAGGACCGGCAGCCGCTGCTCATGTCCAGCCCGCACCCCGGAGGCGTCTCCGAGCAGCTCTCCAGGCTCTGGTAGCAGATGGGAGAAGAGAAGGAGCTCGTTTCCTGGAAATTGAGGCCAAAATCAGGGTGGGAATGCACGCTCCGCCAGGATGAGTCGGCCGGGACGGGCAGCGGAGCCGGCTACCTTCCCTGTCAGCTCACTGACGTGGTAACTAGCCTCAGTCTAGCCCGCTGCCTGGTAACTGCGCGAGTCCTGCCGGATGCAGCCAATCATAGCTTTGCACCGTGAAAAGTGGCATTCCGACTATCCAATCGAATAACGGAAATTGGTTTCAGGAGGCGGGTAGTGCCTAAAGAGGCGAGATTACAAGGGAAAGGGTAGGTAGGGGACAACCAACGGATACGAGTACTCTCTGAGTGACAGTTTAAAAATCCAATAAAAAATTAGGAACTGTGCTGGGCGGTTAGAGGGGTGGAGTTAGGTAGAGTTCGGTTGCAGTGCGCGGTTTGGCAGTGGCTGCAGCGCATTACGGGCTACAATTGGCTGGAAAGGGGCGGGGTCCGTTTTGAGAGCTTGAGCGGGTATCCTTATTCCCCTGTCCACGTACTATCAAAGTTACCTGGGCCAAGACCATGCTCCTTGAGGGATCACTCCTTTTCGAGGCAACTCTGGGCTTCCTTCATCCTAAAACAAGTCCAGCGATCCATTCCACACCCTCCTCTCCTCGCCCTCTCGTCCACCTTCCCCGTGGCTTCTCACAGTTGTGTCTGTCACGTCCCAACTCTGTTTCAGCGCCTTCTGCCCGTTCCCATTATCCAGAAATAGAGAAAATGGGAAGTAGCAGAAGCCCTGGATATCTAATTTAAGTCTCTTCATTTTACATCATAGGAAACAGCCCCAGGGTGGGATGCTGGGCCCAGGTTCACATAACTAGTAAATAGCAGAGCAGAGAGACAAACCCCTGGGTCTCCTCGCCCCCAGGTCAACTCTTTTCACTGCCTTTTGTCACCTCTTATGCCTTAGTATATCGGGCTGTGACTCCCGGTCTGCCTCTCATACCAAGCCTTGGACGGGCCTTATCCACCAGGCAGAGAGCTAAATACGTTGCTTAGCCCACATTTTCAGTGATAGGAAACAGAAGTCTTTCTTGTTTGCCTTAGAAACGCTAAGGGGCCTGAGGGTTGGACGCCCACCTGTTTTCACTCTCTTGCCCCCAGCTACCTCCTCCATTTGCAAGAGATGATAGAGGTTACTAAGCTATTTGGAATTACCTGTGTTATCTGGAAGTGAGAATGCGTGGGAAGAGAACAAGAGGATGGGTTTTCTCCTAGCAGACTAAATCGTGTAATTCTCCGCCTGTTTGAGACACTAGAGCCCCAGTGTCCCTGCAGACCTGGAGAAACTGCTGGGAGGCAGTGAAAAAAGATACCAACTCTTTCCATACTTCCTCCCAGTTATGGACAACTCAAGTCCAGGGAAGCTTCATAACCACATAGGAATGTAGTCTCAAAACCATACATCTAAAGACCATCCACGTGCTACAATGCTCTAGCTTTTTTTGTTGTTGTTTTTGGCTTGTTTTGTTTTGTTCTGTTTGTTTTTTGTTTGTTTTTGAGACAGAGTCTTGCTCTGCCGCCCAGTATGGAGGGTAGTGGCACAATCTTGGCTCACTGCAACCTCTGCCTCTGCCTCCTGGGTTCAAGTGATTCTCCTGCCTCAGCCTACCAAGTAGCTGGATTATAGGGGTTTGCCACCACGCTGGGCTAATTTTTATATTTTTAGAAGAGATCGGGTTTCACCATGTTGGACAGGCTGGTCTTGAACTCCTGACCTCAGGTGATCCACCAGCCTCAGCCTCCCAAAGTGTTGAATTACAGGTGTGAGCCACCACTCCTGGCCACAATACTCTAGTGTAAAGCACCCATCAGATCTGACATCAAACCTGAAGAACCCCTCAATAACTCCCTACACCTGCACCTTGGGCTTCTGGTCAGTGGGTCCAGCTGAGGATCTAGCCTCTTTCACCCAAAGAGAGTCAGGAAAAGAGGATATACCATCATAGCACCTCTTTCCACATTACCTCTGAGCCATTTTCTTCCTCATTTGAAAACTGGAAATTGGTGTCCTGGGCCTGTCTCAAATTGAGAGGTCTGGAGACCCCACTGGAAAATCCTCTAAGTGGGCCAAAACTTCCTGCTCACCCATATCCACTTCCACATACCACCAGAAATTCATCATTCTAAAAGCATGTGATTGTCCAATAGAGATGGGGAAGAAAGAGATGACAATTCCCTAGTCCCTCCTAACCACTAATCATCATCTTACCAGGCAGAACATCTTCCTCATAGATTTCATTGTGACATATTCATTGATATTCTACATTATGCCTGGGAATAATAGACATGGTCCTTACCCTCCTAAATTTTAGTGTCATAGTGGACAACACATAAGCTGATCCCTTCAATATGGTGGGTGGTGTAATAGAGGTTATACACAGAGGGTCATAGGAGCTAGAGGCTAACCTGAAAGTTCAGAAAAGTCTTCCCAGAGAAAACAAGGCCTGAGTGGAACATTGGAGGAGTAGGAATTTACAATATAAAGATGGGTTTCTTTTACAGGAAGGGCCAGAGGTGTGCAGGAAACTAGTAGGAAATTGGAGATGAAGACAAGGTCAGGTCCTGAAGGTCTTGTATGTCAGCTATACATACAAAAGGGAGCTTGACCTTTATCCTGAGGGCAATGGGAGTCACTGAACAGTCAATACATGACTGTTCAGATATACCTTAGGGGCATATTATGTGACTGAGCTTAGGCTCTTGGAGCACCCAAGCAACACATCCTAACTGGGAGAAGAGAAGCAGCCTGCTGCCTGGAAATTGAGGCAAAAGTCAGGGTGGGACAGTACCGTCTGCCAGGATGTTCCTTGGACATCGATCCTGTCCCTTGCAAATTCCTAACCAGCAGGCACCACACCTTGCCCACAGAACTTAACCTGGTACCACCAGCGGGAAACCAGCCCTGCCAAAGGAGGGAGAGCACAGCCCAAGCGAGACGACGGTGCAGACTGAAAGGCAATTGGTCCATGCATTTGGAGTGCCCAGCCCAAGCCCTGAGATCCAGCAGGAACCTTCTTTAATTGTTTTGTGCGGGGAGAGAGATGATAGTTACTTGTCCAAGTTCATTCGGTGATGGTGCAGTTCGTGGCAGCGTTGGAATACCACTTTGATTTGTCTCATTCCAAACCCTGCTGTCTCCACGAAGTCACTTTCCTTGGAGAAGAGGGGAGAAATGAAGAGGAGGAAAGATACGAAGAAAAAGGAACAGAAGGGAAGAGAAATAAGTGTTTAAAGTGGCAGAGGAGGGAGAGGGGTAAACAGCAGGAGCGAAGCGGCTGAGGAGAAAGAAGAGGAAAGAAAGGCGAGACGTAGGAGGATTGGAACAGAGACAAAAAGGAGGAGAGACGGACAGCGACAAGTGGAGAAAATCGGCGAAACTTGAGCGGCGGCGAAGTCTGAGCGCTGAGACCCGGCGGCCCCGTGCGCCTTCCCACCTGGCGCCGATCCACTTTGCTCGGGGTAGTGGCCCAGCCCCACTTCGCCGCCAGCCAACCCCTTTTAACCGGGGCTATCGGGACCACTCTACTCTCGCCCACTTGGCTCTGCCAAAGCGTCCTAGCCGGAGCGCGGTCTGTGCCACGTGGGGAGGGGCGCGGCCCAGTTACTGAGGAACGCTTCTGATTGGCCAGAGGGCGGTGTTCTTGGCGTCTCGCCGGTCAGACCCCTCCCTCAAAGGCAGGACCTGGAAATCCACAGCTGGAAAGGGCGGAGCCCCGGCAGCGCAGCTGGAAAGGGGCGGGGCCTGACGCGCGCAGCTCGCCGCGGCGGGCTGGGGGCGCCCTGGTCTGCCATAAAGTGAATGGGCGCCTGCTGGGGGTGGCAGTACGCGGTGAGGCTCACTCCCTCCGCGAGTCCGGGAGCGCCAGAGCCGAGCGGCGGCCCGGGAGCAGGGGGGCGGCCCCCACTCCGGCCGGGTGCCCGGCCCCTGGCCCCTGCCTGCCCTCTAGATCGCCGCCGCAGCCGCTGCCGGGAGTCTGCCTGTTGCGGGACGCACTGTGAGTGTTTGACCATTCTCTGGAGAGGGGCTCATGGGGCCGAGGAACTATTGCTGGACCTCGGAATCCCTAAAACGGGACCTGGGGCAGCTGAACTCCAGTGTCGAGAGAACGGGTTGAGACTGGGAGGGCGGACTGCAGACCTGGGGCCAGGACCTGGGAAAAGGGGAACTCAGGGTAAGAACCAGGGAATAGGGAAGGAGGAGACTCAGAGGATCCAGAACGAAGCCGGAGACTCGAAGCCAGGATAGGGGCTTTGGAGTCTGGAAACCATTACCAGAAAGCGCCCTGGAATCCCAGGGCACAGGGCAGGCGGCCAGGGAGCGAAAGGGGTTGCAGAGGCCCTGTCCAGTGGGGGAATCGGCGGCGGCCCCTAGTTTGGGGGCAGTTGCAGCGCCCGACGCCCCTCGGCCCAGGCTCAGACAGACTCCAGGGGCTGTGAGCCGGGGTGCGCCTGGTCTCACACGCTTCTCTGCCCAGCTGCTCCACAGTTGGAATAGGAACCGTGTTGTGAGAGCCTGGCAGCGACTGGGTCAGATGGCCGCTGTGCGGGTCAGAGTGACCAGGCAGCAGATCTGGTGGATCTGGCTTGGGGTGTCTGGGCCCAGATGGGTCCTGACTAGGGGTCGCCTCAGAATCGGACAGAATGTCCGCGGTGCACGGGGCTTGGAGCGGACAGGATGTCCGGGATAGCGAAGTGGGTTTCTCCGGAGCGGGCGTTGCGTCGGGCAGTGGCGGACAGAATGTCCCTGGCTAGGTGGCATGTCCATCTACCCGGCAGCGACTGCCCAGCTGCTGCGTGTGCGATAGGGTCGGCTGCTGTGGGTCACCTCAAATCCCAGCTCACACTTTGCAAACTTGTTTCAGCTCCTTTGGGCTGAGAAGCTGCAAGAAGGGAGTTAGGGTAAAGGCTGCAGCCCGCCCTTGGGGTGAGGTGCGCTGGGACACATGCCCCCTTCAATTCAGAATAGATCAGAGCATCACTCTGTACTTCCAGAATCCAAATTTGAGGTGAGAAGGCCAATGAAGAGACTGCTAGTGGGAATCAAGACCAGGAAAGGAAAGAACGGGTTACAAAAGGCAATGGGAAAACAGGAAAGAGGTGGGCACAAGCCCCTGGCAGCCTCATTTGCTCCTGAATTCCAATACAATTGACCAGACACCTCTCAGACTCCTTGCTGGAGTGTCAGCCGACCAAGGCTCCTTCTCTACAGTGGGCAGGAGCCCAGGCCAGAAGAGAAACTACAGTCCCATTAGCAAAGAAAACCCTGTACCTGTTTCCCTTTTGCTTCCTCAGCCTTACCAGTCCCAGCACCACCCTGGTGGCTGAGTGGAGATGGGAAGGAGGCTCATGGAATCCAGACTCTGGAGTCCAACAGGGGGCTATCTGGCCCTTTAAATCTGGTTGGGAAGCATGTCTCAGCCCTACCAACCAGACAGGTTTACTTTCCCTGCAGCTGGATACAGCCTTGACTCTGCTGGGCCCATACAGTAACCATCCGCCCTGATCCCAATTCTAACCAGAGCTCAGTTATCCTGAAGAGAGCAGAGTAGGGAGAACAAGTCCATATAAGTGGTCAAGATAGCCCAGCTGGGGACTGAATTTTCACAAGGACAAGTCCAAGGCATTGTATTTAGCAATGAGTAATCTAAACGGTGGTTTCAACCTTTCTCACCCTTCACCTATGAGTGACATACAATACATATTCCCCACAATCCCATTCCATTCCTCAGTTCTGGAGTTTGCTTATCATTGGCTAGGATTCTCAACCTTTTTTTTTTCTTTGCCTTCTTTTGATAAATATAAAGACATACCACAGTTACCCCCATCACATCTGATACACTTTTCAGGGGTGTGTGCTCCCATTGCTGTGCTCCCATAAAATCACTGAAATTATAGGTGAAATGAAGGGCTCTGTGTCAGGAAAGGAATAGGGAAAGCATTGCAGATGGCTCCCTGAAGACTTTAGCCCAAAGTTGTGCTTTTGCCAAAAAGGCCAAAGAGGTGGTATCGTAATGAAGATGATTGGAAACAAAAGACAGAACCTTTTCCCACCCTTGCATAAAGCCATGTAGCTGAATGCATGCCTGGTCACTGGCTCTCAGGAAGAATGTCATGGGCCTAGATCAGGTCAGAGAATGGTTGGCAGAATGGGGAGCCAGGGGCTGCTGGCGAGAACAAATTTCAAAGTTTAGTCCTCTGGAAGGTGAAACAGGATGGAAATCTACTGCAATAATAAAAGGCCTACATATGCAGAAGAATTGCTTGCTCCCCAAATCTTGAAACTGGAGATGAGGGATCCTCTTAAAACTGGAGTGATGCAAGCTTGGGATGAATAGGAAAACGTTCTTTGGCCCACAGTGGGCACATTCTTCCAGAGCTCATTTCCAGAGAGATGGTACAGGCAGGAAGCAGAAATGGAATCCTTCAGGGCTTGGGAGAATCAGCACATGTCAGAGTCACGAATGGCTGCAGGGTGGGGGATTGAGGCATGGAAAGAGTAGAATTAGGTGGTTCGAATCTCTTCAATCTGTGTAGCCTTGGATCCTGCCTTCTTAGAGGTCTAACAGGGCTAGGCACTCCTGCCATAGAGGGCAGTTGTGAGAGTTAAATGAAATCATGTCTGGGAAAGTCCTTTGCAAATGGAGAAGCACCATAGAAATACGAAGCACTGCTATTATTATACCCAAACTCCAGAATCTTTGTTTGGAAGAATGGGACTGAGACTTAGAGCAGCCTAATCACATCCCTGATGCAGTCATAGGAGGGTTATGACAGTTGGACCACCCTACCATGGGCGTCAGATGCTAGCCACTACCCCTACCCCTGTCCAAAAACTCTGGGGAGCTCCCCAGATGCTTAGCCAGTCTATCAGGCCAAATATTTCTGCCTGCCTCCTGCTCAGGGATGGGAACATGGGTCCAGGACTTGGGTTCAGGAAGGGAGGGCAGGCACAGCAGGCTAGAGCTGACTTGTAGTGACAGAGGATGGAGCCAGTGGAATCTTCTCCATTCACAAATGATGCCTCCCAGACTAACCTGAAGGATCCATTAAGTCCTGAGCTTTGGGGTGTCTAGGGTGTCCATGGTCACTGCCAGGGACTCATGAAAATAATGATGGGGAGGTCTAGAAAACCCCACAGTAAAAGAGAGAAAAAAAAGAATGTTGGGGAGGAAAAGGAAAAGCTCATCAGTGGGGTAAGAGTTAGGAGAAGGCAGAGGGGAACAACTTTCAAAACTCACCCTTTCTCTCCTTTCCCATTGTCCTGCCCTGGGGCCGTTTTTACACCTTTCAGTTTATGGTTTCTCCTTTCCTATTTCTTCCCTGCCCAACCCATTCTGCTTACCATTGTCAAATAAAGGTCGCAAAGATGCTGTTTTTGTCACACCCCTAGCTACAAGCCTCTAGTGACCCCCACTGCTTGGTGCATTGCTTCTCATAGTGGGGTGGGGTGGGAGGAGGGCAGTACGCATGTGGGAGAGGCATGACACACAGTCTAAATGGGGCCCCTTTTCCTGGTGTGGGGATATCACTTGAAGATTGGGGGTGGGGATGTGCTTTATTTTTATATTAAAAGAAGTTTTCTTTTTATATGAAAATAAAACATTTCATATTAAAATATTTTATATTCCATGACTATAGTATGAAATAGAATGAAAAAATTTGCTTACATTTTTAACATAAAGCTGGCGACTTCAAAACAATTTCATACTAGCTGCAGCTGTTTTAGGTCATGCTTCTAGTTTCCTATTAGATGTTGGTTTTAACTGGTCTTGGGGTTTGTTTGTTTGTTTTCCCTTTTTTTTGCAGAGAACGGGGACTTGCTATATTGCCCAGGCAGGTCTCGAACTCCTGGGCTCAAGCTATCCTCCTGCCTCTGTTTCCCTAAGAGTTGGGATTACAGGCATGAGCTACAGTGCCTGGTGGTTTTTTGTTTTTGTTTTTTGCTTTATTCAGGGCTGTGGCTCAGAGTGAATCTTAGGGGTTTTTGATGAAAAAGCTGGACGTACTCTAGCCTAGACTTTGTCAAATCTGAACCACCACCCCTTGTCCTCCATTGAAGGCCCCCTCGGTTTGACTCATTTCTCTCTGCTGATCTCTTGTGGCCTACACTGAGACTCTGACTAACCTAGGCTCACCACTGCCCTCCCAACCTGCCAGCTTATTCCCAACATTGCTGATTATTTAGAAGGCCATACCCCTTCTCTGCCTCTAAACTCCCAATTCAGTCATGTGCCTACATTCTCTGAGCCCCCAACACTTGGTACCACCTTCCATGGGCTTCCCTTTCTCTGATCTTTCACAGTCTGAGAGTCAGACCCATGCAGTCCATCTTTTCCTCCTCTGCTCTGTTTGCCTCCCTACACTGCAGACTCCTACAAGTTAGGGTCTATGCACTACTGTTCTTGGGGATCCCTCTTAACACCTAACACTTGCTCAAGGAAGGAAGCAAGGAAGAGCAGGAAGACTGTGGAGTCATTTCTCTGATTCCTGATTCATCCCTTGATAACTTGAGTACTTCAAATCTTTGCTGCCTCCACCTGAGTCTTGGGGCTGTAAGCAAATGTGTCTCGATTTGCTCTCATTTGCACATTGCAGTTCAACAGACCTCAGAGTCTGGCTGCTCAGCGTCCCTAATGAACATGCGACCATGTCCACTTAAGGGCCTCACTTCAGTTTCAGGTTTATAAGATGAAAACGTCACAACTCCAGCTCCTCTTATATCTTCTCCAGTTAGCCCCTGAAAGAGAAAGGCTTTCTCCCATTTGGGGTCCAGATTATGCCTCCAGCCTCGGGCATCATTATTGCAACTGATCATGGGCTCTCACTATGTCCCTGGTCTTCCCCTCTGGCTTCAGGACTTACATGGGTCTACATGAGAGCTGACTTATTGCCATGGGGTTGTGTCCCTTGGAAACCATGGCCTCCCCACTGTGGCCTCCCTGGCCTAAGAGCTGCTCTGTACCTTCATATGTCCTGGATATTTCATTCTTGCTGCATGCATGACCAGGCTTCCTGTAATTCCAGCCTGTACTGCAGAATCAGAACATACCTATAACCCCTCTGTACTCCCTGGGCCTGGGATTGCCACCCTGACCCCAGTGGGACTGGGCCACACATCCCTAGCAGGCTGTGGTAGAAAGGCTGGGGTGGGGCTGGCAGCCCCCTCCCAGAGCTGGACTCACCATCACTGTTATCTCTTGACTCTGTCTGTCCCTGCCTGGGTATTTCTTACTAGCATCAACCAATCCTGCAGCTTCCAGACCTACTGCTTGTTCCTCCCTATCCACTGAGTGAGGCAAAGTCCCTGGCCTCAGTCCCAACTCCCTAGCTTCCTGATCTCCAGCAGTTTGGGGGAGCTTAATCTTCAGCCAGCCTGTCTCCAGTTTAGACAACAGCCTGGCGCCCCCAGCCTTTGCCTGACCAGCCCACCTGGACGTGAGTTGGCTAGAAGTCTATGCCCCCACCCTTCCATCCCTCTATTGCCTGCCTGGCTTTACTGTTCTTTCCTTCTCTCTTCAGTTTCACTGTCAGGGCCCTTCTCAGCCATGGCTCCTCTTTCTGCTGTTACTAGCCCATGCAAAGCCTTAAAGGCTTCCTTCTTTCCTTTACCAGTCCCTGATCCCTAAAGTGGCTCCCAGCTTAGGGTACACTGCCCATGTTGCTGTTACCTTGTTGACTGGGCCCTCCATGCTCAGGACAGAGTGTTCACAGCATGTGTGGCCTATCTCTCAGCAATGCAGTGTACTCACCTTCATTCGCTAGGAAAACACTACACTAGAGGATACAGAGTCTGGGGAGACGATGACCCACTCAAGGAAGGGCAGACACAGGGATGAGATCTTAGCCACCACTCCACCCCTAGTGCCAACTCAATGCACAGCTCATAGAATGTGCTAAATAAACATCTGTTCGACGAGTGAGAAAAAAAAAATTACTCAGGTAGAGTTTTATCCCTACTCATTTTTACATGTTATGTTTTTATCTAAACCTTATAACAATACTGAAGGCAAGTAGGGAAGAGATCATAAACTTCCTTTTAGAGATGAAGAAATATGCCTAGAGAGGTAAAGTAACTTGCTAAGGACACACAGCTAGTAAGTCGTAGAGCCAGGATGTGAACCTAGATCTGTTGACTCCAAACCCAATTTCTTTAGGGTATACCAGATGACTTTCCTGAGAGGGGCCTGGGCACCTCCTGTTCCCCCTCCCCACCCCATCCTCCAGCTCCAGAATTCTATGCCTTCTCACTCAGCAGCCATCCAGTGCAGGACACTCCCCTGGCCCCCTTGGCCTCCTCCTCCCCCACACAGAGTCCTTAGCTCCTGGGACTGAGAGCTGAGGTTCAGAGGGGCCAGGGAGGGGTGGGGGGAAGGGTAATAATGGCTAGCTCCAAAACAGCCCCGGCAGCTGTCCCTGTCACAGAGAGGAGACTGTGTGACGGTGCATGTCTGTCTGCCTGGATGTGGCAGCGCATGTGTGGGAGAGTGTGTGTTTGTGTGCCTCTAGCTCCAAGTCCAAGTGCTTATTATGTCTGATTGGGGGGCCTGTGTGTGTCTGCACATGTGTCTGTCTGTCTCCGGGAACACGTAGCCTGAACTCGGCTTTCTGGCCTCGGCTTTTCCTCTGGCCCATATCCCTTCTCACCCTGCCTCCCTCTGCTGAAACAGAATGAAAGCAAGATGCAGGTATAGAATGCTTGCAGGAGGCGGGGGTTTGGGGGTGCGGAGCAGGGGAATTTGGAAAACTGCAAGTCTGGAGCCAAAGCAGACTGGAAGGCTAAATGGCAAATGTGGGGCTGCTTTTCCCACAGGTAAACCCCTCTCTGGGTTTTTTCCCAGCTCCATGTTGTTCCCATGACCTCTAGAAAAGTCAGGGGCATGATTTGCATTTCAAGGGCATCTTGAGTATGAAGTAATGGGAGACTTTAGAGTACCCCTTTTTCCAGCTCTCAGTTCTAACCTTCCTCCCTCATCTTCCCAGCTATTTGGGAAGAACCACTAGCCAAGGCTGCCATAGTTCCCTCCCAGGGACATCTGTCTTCCATCAGAGCATTGTTGGCCAAAGATTTCCAGCCCCAAGCCTCCTGACCTGACCTGGAAGGGGTCAGTCAGTAAGCCAAGCACACCTCCAGTCCTGGCCTGACTTCTCCTTTCATCCCTGGTTCCCGCCAGCCCTGTCTCTCCACATCCAGTAAAAGGTCCAAGAGCTAGACCCCTCTGCCTGTGGAAAGAGCAGGGACCATTTCTCAACCTCCTGCCTTGACCTCGGTTCTACCCCCAACCTGGCTTGAGAGGTGGGGTGGGGAGTGGGGGCACAGCTGTTATCTCTGAGCTGGTTGAAGGGGGCATTACCATGTGCAAATACAGGCCGCTGCCCATCTGCACCTGCCTGAGAAAGGCTCCTAATAAATCCAGAGCAGCCAAGTGACACACATCTCAATCTAGGCTAATCCATCACATTAATGCCATCCTGCGCAGCCTGCATTAAGCCCCTGTTAATGGGGAAGGGGTGTCAGGAGCAGAGAGGCCCCTCCCACTCAGCTCTCTACCCCTTCCCTCTGTCCCTAGCCTCCTTCTGTTCTCTTCTGACCAAGACGCACACGGGGTCTTGAGCCCTAGTATTGCCCATTTCCCTTCCTCCCCACAGTGGGGTCCTGGGAGAGCAGGCAGAAAAGGGGACCCTGCAGGAGAAACTTGGAAAGGACCCAGAGAGACTCCTGGGCAATGCGAGGCTAGGTTTGAGATAGGAAATATGAGTAGGAAGGTGGTCTTATGAAGTTCCTGCTACAGCCTGGAGCGGGCTTGGTAGAGGCCAAGCATGAGCGGAGCCGTCACTGGTAGGACACAGTGTATGCCGGTGCAGGCATGAGAGCAGGCCCAGCCCAAGCACCCAGTGGCTTTCATACTTGTGTTTGATCTTGTTACCCTTCTTTAAAATGAAATCTCTTCAGAAATCATGAACAAAACAGGCCGGGCACGGTGGCTCATGCCTGTAATCCTAGCACTTTGGGAGGCCGAGGTGGGTGGATCACCTGAGGTCAGGAGTTTGAGACCAGTCTGACCAACATGGTGAAACCCCTTCTCTACTAAAAATACAAAAATTAGCTGGGCATGGTGACACATGCCTGTAGTCCTAGCTACATGGGAAGCGGAGGCAGGAGAATTGCTTGAACTCTGGAGGTGGAGGCTGCAATGAGCCAAGATCGTGCCACTGCACTCCAGCCTGGGTAACAAAGCGAGACTCCATCTCAAAGAAAAGAAAAGAAATCATAAACAAAACAGACCAAAGCAGTGCCTGCCCTAGCTGAAGCAGACCCAAGTAAGGCCAGGCTAGAACTGTAGCTGAGTCCCTGAGGGGATCTCGAGGGAAGGCCCCAAAGAGCACAATGTGAGAAAGCATGTGTTCTGAGTTGACTGGATCAGAAAAATAAAAATAATAAAATAAAAATAAAAAGCAAACAAGGAAAAAGCATTAGGAGTCTCACAGACCTGGTGCAGCTCTCAATCCCACTGCTTACAAGCTCTGTGATCCTCATCGCGTTCCTTCACGTCTCAGTTTCCTCACTGGAAAAAGGGTGATCATATTTGACGTATACTTGTGAGGGGAGAAAGATGAGGTAAAGGCCTATAGTAAGTACACGTAAATGATAGCAACCATTATTCTTAAGGGAGAAATGTCAGGTTTGGTTCAAAGTACAATCTGTCCTAAGGACAGTGGGTTTAACAGACATCTGGTCTGTGTCTCAGGTATGACTGGCTGAGGGCCAGGTATGAGTATAGGGTGATCTTGTGCATTCAGGTGAGAAGGATTTGAAGTTTTTATGGATGTAGTACAGGGTATGTGGTGTGCTACAGCGTAGATTTTTTTTTTTTTTTTTTAAGACAGAGTTTCGCTCTGTCACCCAGGCTGGAGTGCAGTGGCCTGATCTTGGCTCACTGCAACCTCCGCCTCCCATGTCCAAGTGATTCTCCTGCCTCACCCTCCCATGTAGCTGGGATTACAGGCATGCACCACCCTGCCCAGCTAATTTTTATATTTTTAGTGGAGACAGGATTTTGCCGCATTGGCCAGGTTGGTCTCGAACGCCTGACCTCAAGTGATCGACCCGCCTCGGCCTCCCAAAGTGCTGGGATTACAGGGGTGAGCCACCATGCCCCGCTTATAGTGTACATTTTCATTCAATAAATATTGAATCTCAACTGTATACCTGGCACTGTTCTAGTTCCCAGCAGTAAACAAAACAAAGCCTAGTTTATATATCTAGGCAGAGAACCTCTCAGCATGCACCTCTTCCCCCTTCGGCTGCTATTTCCCGATTCTATCTTAGGGAGCCCCACACAGGGGTAGCTTTATGGCTGAGAAAGGCGGCAGGGAACTTACGGGAAACGCTGCTGGGACCCAGCTAAGCCGGAGATTTTACCCCCACTACCCTGGTCTGTCTTCTCTCCCCTCCAGAGCCCTCCCTCCATGGAGTTCGGCCTGCTCAGCGAGGCGGAGGCCCGGAGCCCTGCCCTTTCGCTGTCAGACGCGGGTACTCCTCACCCCCAGCTCCCAGAGCACGGCTGCAAGGGCCAGGAGCACAGCGGTGAGCGCGCCCCCTTCCGAGGGTGGAGGAGATAACAGCTTCATCTGCAGTGCGGGTGGGACCCCGGCTGGGCAGCCCGGGTGGGAGCCAGCGGGTGGTTCAGGAGGTCCCCGAGCCGGAGAATCCGTGCAGGCTTGGGCGCCCTGTGACCTGCCCCACCCTGGCTTCCAGACTCGGAGAAGGCCTCGGCTTCGCTGCCCGGAGGCTCCCCTGAGGACGGCTCGCTGAAGAAGAAGCAGCGGCGGCAGCGCACGCACTTCACCAGCCAGCAGCTGCAGGAGCTGGAGGCGACCTTCCAGAGAAACCGCTACCCTGACATGAGCACGCGCGAGGAGATCGCTGTGTGGACCAACCTCACCGAGGCCCGCGTGCGGGTATGCCCTACTGATCCGTGACTCGCACCCGCGCGGGCCCTCCAGGCGCAGCCTGCGACCCTGAGGCCGGCAGTTCCGCCCCACCTGCCCCCGCCCCCGGGCCCTGGCCGCTAGCCCCCGGCTCCCGGCCACAGTCCCACGCGGCCTCCTGGCTGCCAACCTCCAGCCTCTGCTCGCAGTGCTCCGTACCAGACCGCGCGCTTCTTCGGCCCTGACACCGTCTCTCCTTACCTTCTCCACCTCTCCTCGACCCCATCCTACTGTCCCCCCAGACCCTGGCGCCGATGACTCAGTCCTGCCTCCCGCGCCTTCTGTTCTCCGACCCCGGACTCAGTGCGCTCCTCCCCTCCCACCCCGTCTCCAGCCACCTCATCTCGTTTATTCACCACACTGCCCGGCTGGAAGCCCCGTCGGGGTGGGGTAGGGTGGGGTGGGGTGGCCCGCCCTCCAGTCGGTGGAACCCGGCCCCGAGCCCTGACCGCCTTTCTCCCGCGCTCGCAGGTATGGTTCAAGAACCGGCGCGCCAAGTGGCGGAAGCGCGAGCGCAGCCAGCAGGCCGAGCTGTGCAAGGGTGGCTTCGCAGCGCCGCTCGGGGGGCTAGTGCCGCCCTACGAGGAGGTGTACCCCGGCTACTCGTACGGCAACTGGCCGCCCAAGGCGCTCGCCCCGCCGCTCGCCGCCAAGACCTTCCCGTTCGCCTTCAACTCGGTCAACGTGGGGCCTCTGGCTTCGCAGCCCGTCTTCTCGCCACCCAGCTCCATCGCTGCCTCCATGGTGCCCTCCGCCGCTGCTGCCCCAGGCACCGTGCCAGGGCCCGGGGCCCTGCAGGGCCTGGGCGGGGCGCCCCCCGGGCTGGCTCCGGCCGCCGTGTCCTCAGGGGCTGTGTCCTGCCCTTACGCCTCGGCCGCTGCCGCCGCCGCGGCCGCCGCCTCCTCCCCCTACGTCTATCGGGACCCTTGTAACTCGAGCCTAGCCAGCCTGCGGCTCAAAGCCAAACAGCACGCCTCCTTCAGCTACCCCGCCGTGCACGGGCCGCCCCCGGCCGCCAACCTCAGTCCGTGCCAGTACGCCGTGGAGCGGCCGGTATGAGCGGCCCCGCCCGTGGATCATCCCCGAGGGCGGGGGCGACGATTCGCAGCCTTAGCGGACTGGGGTCGTCTTGACTGGCTTGCCCCCGCTCCAGGGTCTGAAATGGGTGTTTGGGCAGCTGGCGTGGGGGTGGCGGCCGGCTCAGGAGAGGGCCTTCCCCCTCCCAGCCCTGAGGGATGGACTGGGCCCTACACAGAGACCGCGCCCCTGGGACTAAGGCCAGGAACAGGGACCAGCTCCCCGGGGGCCAACTCACCCTTGGCCCATCCCGCCTTCTCCAGGCTTCCCCTCCCTGGTTTTCAAAGATAAATGAAATAAACGTGCGCGGACTGTCGAAGGCCTGATGATTCAGAATTGCGGTTGAGTCCTCTTCCCTTCATCCTACCCCACTGTCTACAGGCGAGCTGGATGTACAGGAACGAGGTGAGGGTCCAGGCTTCTAGGGATTCTGTCCCACTCACCCTCCTACTCCAGAACCGGGCAGCCGGGGATTGTTCCTGGAGCAAAGAGGTGTGTGCGTGCGCGGGGCGTGGGAAACCAGCTACCTGGCTGGCGTCGGCCACAGCCGGTGCTGCGGCGCCACCTCGTGGTCTCAGGGAGGCTAGCTGGTAGATCTAGCTTCGTTGTAGGTGTCAGCTCTGCAATTCAGAGAGCCTGTGACTCTGAAGTTATTCCGCCCTTCTCCACCTGCTTCTCACTGTTCCTATGAGGGGCTTGGGCCTCTAACAGCAATAAAATTCTGGTCTGTAACAGACATTTATTAAGTGCCTACCAGGCCTAGGATTCTTTCAGTGTCTGTGTGTGTGCCTCTCACCCCTCCATGCACTCTCAGGCTTCCCCACTGCCGATCATCCCACTGGCAGCAGCCTCCTGCCATCACAGCGGCCTTCTTTTCCCCCCAAACCCCAAAACTCTCAAAATTTAGTTGAAATCTTTAATTAAAAAAATAGAGCAAGAAGAAGAAAGATTTCTGGATAGAAATATATCCTCCATCCCACCCCCATCCCAGGGCCTGCTTGGCCTTCACATTAAAAACAGAAGCATCAAAGTAACAGACCACACCCCCATCCCAGGGTCACCTTTCTTGTCTGTCAAAAATTCCAGCCACCTTGGGGCACACATCCTCTGGGGAAACCATGCAGGTAAGGCAACCTAATCATTCTCCCAAAACTAAGCCCAGCCTCTTAGTGCCCTGGAGAAGAGAGAGCCTGGAGCTTCATTGTTCTCTCCAACCCTTCACTGGCTCTTTGTCTTGGCTTTGACCTTGGGCCTGATGTAGGCCTGTCTGAAGAAGTGGGCAAAGAGGATGAAATAGGTCATATACAAGATGGAGGACCAGAATAATTGTTCCATCGTGGTGTTGCATCCTGGCTCCTGCCTCCAGATGTATGACAGGATGCTAACAACGGCTCCTGCAAACATCTGCAAGATCTGCAGGCTGGTTATGAGCATGGGCAGCATCTTGGGGGGCTTCACGTTGGCAGCCTTCAGAGTGTAATAGGTGTACATGATGGCATGCACACCAAAGTTTATGGTCATGAACCAGCCTCCTGCAGGCACTTTGTTCTTGTATCCAAAGCTTGTGAACACCAGCACTGTGCTGTGGTGGTACCAGTGGATAAAGATGAGAGGCCGCTTACGCAGGATGATGAAGGCTGTGTCTCCTGGGAGATGGAGAATTATAGGTGGCATACTGCCCATTGCTGGGACCACCCTCTGCACTGGGTGTGGGGACATGGGAGAAATTCTGAGGGGAGGAGAGGGGGTCTTTGTGGCAGAGAATCTGTAGAGGGACTCGGGTGAGAGGTGTTATTAGGACCCAGGGGTAGGAAAGTGACTCTCCATGGGACGGTGAGGGGAGGGCCCTGAGGAGGGATGCAGTTCACAAGGCACCAGAGTGACAAAGCCTTGCCACTCACCAAGTTCTATGACCTTGCTGAGAAGAAAGACCCCTGACCAGAATTTGATTATGGAATGTTCGATGAAGGTGTAGAAGCACACAGTTGGCTTTAGGCCCCCAGTAAGCAGCACAGTCCCCATCACGGTCCACGTCCTCACTGCCCCCACAATACTGAAATGGGACAAAGGAAGATGGTGTCAGCGTCATCCCCAGGCACCAATCCACCTTTCCCCTGGAAGGGTGGCCAAGTCACTGTGTTCCAAGCTGTACCACCTCCCAACCTGTCCATGAGGGATGGGTCAAAGCTCCTGAGATCCTGGGCCAACCAGTAGTCTAGAGGAGATGAGGCCAACCAGTAGTCTAGAACAGAAACATCAGGGAATGCAGGGGGATGGGATTGAAAGTTGACTTAAGGAATGGGGTTCTTGGGAGGGGTTAGGAGCCTGGGAGGAGATGCATAGAGGGATAGGGGAAGACTGAAGGAGTTTGGGGAAGAAAGTATGGGGAAGTTATTGGAGGGTCTTGAGAGAGGGTGTTAGGAGCTGAGAACATTAGAGGCTGGAGAAATTTGTTGTGAGTACAGACTTAATGAACTCAAGAGGGACAAAGCAGAGACCACCAGGTCAGGGTCTAAAAAAGAAGGAAAACAGGAGAATATAATAGAAGAGGGTGAAGGCTGAGAGGGGAACTAAAGCTGAAAGAATGAGATGGGGAGAGTGTTACAGGGCGACTTGGGGACAGGATGGAGGTTGATGCAATCTGGAAAGCTTTAAGGGATAGAATGGAAGTCTAAGATCTAGAGAAAAGGCAGGGAGTGGGAAGGGTCTTACCTGAAGATTGCAAGGCAGAAGGACCAGAGGAAGAGAGGCCCCTGCAGGTTGAAACCCTTACGTTCCTTCATGTAGTTCTGCCCCACAGCGATGAGCACCAGGTAGATCAGGGCTATGGGGAATGAGGTTGCCCTGGCAAGCAGAAGGCAAAGGGGATGGGCTCATGGGGAGTGCTGACTAGAGAAATGCCCACTCATCTCTCCAGGTGAGTGCTCTGGGTTGGAGCCCCAGTTCTGCCACTCACTAGCTGTGTGACACTGGGAAAACCAACTTAACTCTCTGAGCCCTGGCTTCCTCATTTGTAAAGGGGGAATAATACATCTCTCCTGGCAGTATTAATGTATACAAAGTACCTAGCACAGGGTAGGGGCTACGTCCAAGGTTTCTGTGATTATTGCTCTCTCAGTGAGGTTGGAGGTGGGTGATGGGTGTCTGGCCCACACCTAGAAGCAGCCCAGGACTGTGGTGTAAGAAGAATGTAGCAATGGCTTCTCCCCAGTTGGGTCATGGCAAATTGGCTGAAGCATAAAGTCATCCCACGGAACCTCTGGGGAGCTTTAGGGCTAGGCCAGGGAGCTTCTTCCTGGGGAAAGCTTGGAAGAGCTCCCTGTCTTTGCCTCCTTCTCCACAGCAGAAACGGTGGAGCACCTGGGGAATGACAGGGTAACTGTGAAGGGCAGGCTGTCCCCAGGCCCCGCACTGTGCACACACGCGCACACACACAGCAACAAAGAACAGGGAAGTCAGCTAGTAAGGCTTTAGATCAACCTCACGCCTCCACGACCAATTCTCACTACACAGTCTTTGGCTTCTGTATCTTTCCACGTTCTTCTCCCCCATCCTCTTATTACTGCTTTCTTTCTTTCAGCTCTAATCTCTTTGAGGTGCCACACTACCTGCACCTCAGACAACGGTAGTGTGGTGCCAGTATGAGGGAGTCCGATAACTTTGCTCTCTAAGAAAATCATTGCAAGCATTCAATGCCAGCCCCTCGCATCCCCGCCCCGGGGGCCCTGGCATGGCCTTTCCCTCTCCCCAAGTCTCACCAGTACGCCTCCAAAAAGGGCCACAGGCCCTCGAGCAGCTCGAAGTTATAGGGCTGGAGAAGCTGATTTACTGCGTGTGAGACATTCATGGCTGTGACCATCTAGTTTTGCAGACGTCGAGGTCCAAAGCTTGGAGGCGCTAGATGAAAGGCTTGGGGCGCCAAGGATGGAGTGAACCTCGGGGCGAGACGGAACAGAGCCAGGGCAGACGAAACCCCTGGGCAAGGCGAAGAGGGCGTCGGACCCAGGCACGTGCGAGGCGGCGCAACCAGCTCTCCCCAGGGCAGCACTGCGATATATAACGCAGACTTGCAGAGCTGCGGCCCCGGACTGCGCGCGGACCCCTCCCTGCGCCCCGCCGCTATCCAATCTCGACCAGGATACGCCTCTGTCCCGCCCCTGGGCCGCAGTCCGCATTCTGATTGGTCATCCTCAAGGCCCCCCCACCCCGTCCCCCGCTCCCGGGCGTTTCACACGCCCCGCCCCAAGTCCGGTCGTAGGCGGTCGCCCGCCCACTTTCCCAACAAGTCCACCCATCCTGCGGCCTTGCGGGTTCTCGGACTGGCCAGTCTTCCCTTGGCACTGTCAACCGTGTCCTTCGCCTCAGTTGCCTTTAATCTCGAACTGCTTAGCAGTGAGGAGAAAGGTGTCCTTACCCTTTGGTGCTCCCATCCAGAAATGGAGGAGTCAGTTTCTAGGCTCCCCGAGATCCTTGGAAACCCAGGCCCGCGATGAGGAAATATGAACGTGGGCAACGCAGAGCTTCTCCTGTAGTCCCTTCAACCTTCTAGCTTCGAGTCTGCAGTTAGGGGTGGGTGGAAGGAGACGAATTTTAATGAATTTTATTGTTGAGGTTGTTGATGTTGATGTTTGGGTTGTTGAGGCTGTTATGGTTTCTTTATAGTTTCCTGAATTCCGGAACTGCTACAGACTGACATTCAGTAATAACCGTGGAGAGAGGAAATGGGGTCACCTTCTGGGCTTCTGGAATTATTGTCTTCAGGTTTCCTGGAGGCCTCCTAGGGTTTAAGGATGGGGAGAGCCAGTGCCTCTCCCCAAGGCCTGCTGTTTTATCTCCCGAATCAAAACTACTTCTTTCCTACCTGTGTAACCAGCCCTAAAGAAATAAATGTTCTACAACTTTTAAAGTTTTACTTGGCTGTCCCTTACTTCTTTCCTAGGTTTTATGAAAGTGAAGGAGAAATCCAAGCAGTTCGAGATAAGGTGGAGATTTGCAAAATGTGCTAAGAAACATAGATATAAAATAATTAAAATCAATATGTGGGTATAAACGGCCATGTGCAGTAAAGTTCTAGAGCCAGAGGATCCAGGTAGGAACCCCAGCTCTACTTCCTGAACCTCAGCCACTGTCTGGGAGGGTGTAGTGAAAGTCCTATTGGTGCCATCTAAATGAATCAAAAGTGCATCCCTTTTTCTCTGTACCTCATCACCTCTCACCTGGTCACGTTACCTGGTTGCACCACCTCCTTCTCTAATATGGTGCTTCTCCTCTTCACTGCATTGCAATCAGAAAAAAATTCCTATTCCTGCCTGATTACCAGATTCCTGAGCCTCAACTGCAGAGATTCTGGACCTGTAAGTGGTCCCAGACTGTACTTTGAAAACCACCACTTTGTGTTTGCTCATCTGGAAAACAGTTCTGCTTTCTTGCTAAAAACCTTCACTGGTTCCTGATGACTCCATATATAGCCAGACATCTAATCAGAAGGCGATCAACACATGTCTGATGGATGAAAATATGAATAAAAGAATGAATATTACAAGAATAATGCCATCTAGATGTTACAAGACCCAGGTGCAAGTCCCAGTGCCCCCATCAATAAGCCATGTGATTTTAGCAAGTTACTTAACCTCTGTGAGACTCACATTCTCCTTCAGAAAATAAATGCATGTAGTCATACTTGCCTGCTTTCCTCATAAGGTTGTGATGAGTATACAAGTCAGATAACGTAAATGAAATGATACTGTGGACTAGACACATGGAAATAGTAAGGCGAATCATTATGGGAGGTTTACAAATGCATATGCAGAATATATACTCAGTCCTGGATTTCTCTGTGAAGATATTTTACATTGTCTTTCCCTGTGAGGTTTAATGGTGAGGCTTGGAGGAGGTGCATATGGAAGAGGGAAAGAAGAAAAATTGGGGCTCGGCATGGTAGGCCACGCCATAATCCCAGTCCTGTGGGAGGTTGAAGTGGGTGGATTGCTTGAGCCCAGCAGTTTGAGACCAGCCTGGGCAACATGGTGAAAACCCATCTCTACGAAAAAGAACAAAAATTAGCTGGGCATGGTGGCGCCCACCTGTGGTTCCAGCTACTCAGGGGCTGAGGTGGGAGGGTTGCCTGAGCCAGGGAGGTCAAGGCTGCCATAAGCTGTGATTGTGCCACCGAGCTGTGATTATACCACTGCGTTCCAGCCTGGGTGACAGAGTGCAACTGAAAAAA